TTATTATAATTAGTCAAACACAATCCAATAACACAAATAGATTTCCCCATACTTTTCAGGAATGACAAAATCATCATCGCGGAGCTAACACTGACAGGGGTGCATAGCCGAATCCACCCTTTGTTTGTACCTGTGAGGGTCCCTCATGGCAAGCCGCCAGGTAGAGACTCGGAATATCTCAAGCTCATCACGACAGATTTGATCGATCTGCCCAAGCCACGATTTCCTAAGTCATCCAACAGGTCTCCTCCACCCAGCGCTGTCTCAAACAGAGACAACCTGGTTGGCAGGATCACCAGATGGCGACCCAGATGGCCGTAAAGAATGAGTTGGCGATCCCGGATTGTGCAGGCAATAGGTCCTGTGCCAGTCTCACAGTGCAACTGCTGGTTTGACACATGGTCCTGCCAACAGTACCCCATGATCCTGCGCAAGGACCTATTACAAAAGGCATCAAGACGTGACTCCAAGGCGCAGGATAGTGTCCAGGTTTCACTACCGTCTAGCAAAACTGGCATTATCAGGGCCTTGAAAACCTGTAGCTTGGTCCTTCTGCACAGATACCGGCATCTCCAAATACTCTTGTCGAGAGTTCATGACCCCTGCTGCCAGGCCAATCCGTCAGCTGACTTCCTGGTCTGACAGCCCAGAGTTATGAACTGCACTACCAAGGTATGTAAAGCTCTCTGTGACTTCAATGTCCTCGCCATAAGCACGTACCGACTGAACAGGTTCTCCTATTAAGTCCCCAAAGTCCTGGATCTTGGTCTTGGTTCAGGAGACTTATAGAGCCAAGGGCTTCACTTCATTACTAAATGCATTGAGAGCCACCACTAAGATTCCAAGGACTCAGATAGAATTGCAACATCATCAGCAAAGTCAAGGTCTGTAACCTTGATATTGCCCAGAGTTGCTCCACAATGACTTTGAACAGTAGCTCTGCCCAGTATCCAGTCCATGCAAGTGTTGAAAAGTGTTGGTGGTGCAAGGACACAGCCTTGCCTCACTCCTGAACTAACAGGAAAGAAGCTCAAAAGGCCCCCACCACACTTTACAGCACTTTTAGTACCAGTATACAGACTTGCTATTAGTCCAATAAAGGTGCTGTCACACTAGCACTTTTTCCGTCAAAGTCTGTATACTGGTATCGCCCCCCTAACTTCAGTTAGGGAGGGAGTATTCTCACTGATGGGTGGGTCCAGCAACAAAATCTCGGCACTACCTGCATCCAAGTTAACTGCTGGTGGGTCAATGACAAAATGCTTATCTTAATTCTGCTTATTACACCTTTATCCCATCAACCACTGGTACATGTTTTTTTGTTTGCTTTTTCTATCTCTTTCTTCTTTTTTTTTTGTTGTGTGTGTGTGTGTGTGTGTGTGTGTGTGTGTGTGTTGTGTGTGTGTGTGTGTGTGTGTGTGTGTGTGTGTGTGTGTGTGTGTGTGTGTGTGTGTGTGTGTGTGTGTGAAAATTTAGTTACACATAGATAGCTCCACAAGTGCTCACCAAAGAAGTCTATTAGTATACCCTATTTGAGCACACCTGATTTACTCATTCATTGAATTTTCCAGGATTTACTTTTTTCCGAGTTATTATCATCAATAATGTTATCATCATTACTGACATTATTAGTAATCTTATTAACATGACAAAAAAAAAAGGAAATTAGTGTACAGATGAGATATGTAGGATCAGTAATGGACTCCTGTAAGTCTAAAGGGGGCTGTCGCACTCAAGAACAAAATTTGTTAATTATAATCGGATTTTCACGATTTTTTAATATCTTTTATATACATATGCTACAATTTACAGCACCGAGTTTCACAGCATTTGGATAATAAACAATGAAGTTATTAAAAAAAAAAAAAAAACGTTTAGAAAATTTTATAAAATTATAAATCTCACTTATCCATTGACCGAACTTGTTAAAAAAAATACCACGTATAATCTATAGTAATACCTATATTATCAAGAATCGGATTTTGAAATTTCTTCTTAGTTTACTATAATTTTTTTTTGTTCATTTTCAACCCAGTAACGCCGGTATATATTGAAGCTGAAAATAAAAATTTCCGGGCGGCACAAATTGGCGCATGGGGCTGGTCCAGACTATTGCCCGCAACAGCCTACTGCCTAATGCGGCGAGTTACAGCAAAACTGGCCTCCTGGCAATTTTCTTTTTTTTCGGGTGTCTAATATGTGGGACATCCATCGTAAATGGGTTAACCACAAAGTATGATGTATAGAAAATGAAAATCTGATCATGAAAAATTGCCTGTTTATTCAGCTTTCAAATGATCCAAACCCCATTAGAATCACCCAAGTACTTATGGCGAAACAACAAAGAATCTAGACAAGGTGTAGTTTTGAGATATCAGGAAAGTTTAAAATTGTTTTCTTTTCTTTTCTTTTTCTTTAGAAATCTGATATCTGTGTCAATCTTAATGTATTCTATGGCATTCACATGTATTCTAAAATGTATTTGGTACCTGGCAACCCCCACTGAGTGATGGCACATCAAGGATGGTGTCCAGCCGAGGCATGGAATGCGCATCCTCTCGCTCCGGATCTCTCATGGCGACTGCCAGCCTTGTCTCTTTGTCATGGCTATCAGCTGTGCCGTAAGCAGAATTTCCAGCAAGCTACCAGAGAATACCAAAATAGATTTAACCCATTACCGCCAGTATATTTTGATGCCGAAAATAAAAGATTCCGGGCAGCTACAAAATCGGCAAAACCAGAGTACACCAGCAGCGGCCCACTGCTGCGTCGGAGCGCGAGCCCCGATGCAGCGTCACAATGGCGGGACGACCAGCAATGTTTATTTTTTGGGGTCTCTCGTGTGGGACACCCGTCATTAGTGGGTAAAAAATAATCTTGAAAAAATAAGGTAGTAATTTTCACGGATTTACGTATTTAGCATAAATATTACGTCATGAGATTACTAAAGCCTACTAGATTACAGATTTTTTTTTTTTTTTTTCAAATCTGAGTATTTTTTATATTAGTCGAAAATTCATTGCGAAGGCCCCATTAAGCCTTTTGAAGCCACCTCAGGGTAAACAATAAACTAAAAATACCTTGGACATGGCATAATGTCATGCAATCTGTAACCAGTGTGTTCACCCCCTCTTTCCTTATTTACATGTCTCTCCATATGCTTGTATCAATCTCATCTGGTCTGGTAAAGATAACAATAGATTAGAAAGACTAGGAACAATTTAGACATGTAAAGTGTTAAGGGGACCGTCCCTGATGGAAAGGGGGGGGGGGGGGGTAAATTGAGTTAGTTAGCGTATAGTATAGGTACATGGATGAGGAAACTACAAAACGAGTATTAACCGCCTGCTATGGCTCGTTGTCTTGCAGCCGACACGTGAGTTCCTCAGCACCCGGAGAGGTACGTCGCTAATGAGCGCCCAGGTACACCTATGTGGACTTTTGCTTGCGGCAATCGTGCATAAGGCATTTAATTATGACATTGCGCATAGATATGAGTTCGTGAATGTTCAAGGAACACTTTTATACCAATATCAGGAAAAAATTATATCACCATGATTTATGACGAAATATTTTGTGAAATATATCTAAAAAAAATGTAGTTTTGTGTCCTTTTACACATGAAATATGCTTCGATCGAGACTCCCTGGTAATATGTTTTAGTTTACATGGTAATATATACGTATATCACATACGAAGCACTAATGTTTAAAAATAGCCTTATAAGGAAGGATTGAAATATTTCCATTACATTTCGCTCAACGGTTCGGTACATCACAGCAGGGGGCAATTTGAATTGATTTGAAATTGGTAGTTACCATTGTAAAGACCAATTCAATACGAATGTTACCCAAATGTCAGATTTTTAAACTTCGGATGTATAAGCAAGATACAGATTATTTCATGTTGAAGATGATAGTACTCAGTAATACCTGCTCTGAAATAAAAAACTATATGGAATTTTGAGCTCGATTGTATGCGTAGTCTTCGTCTGGTGTTCAAAAAAATATCGCATCCGTTTCGTGCATTCCCGATAAAAAATGAATATGTTTAGACGTTACCGTAAGTCTTAGGCACCATAAATTGGCAAATCCCACAATAGGCATCTGCATGATTTTATGCACTTCTTAGTAAAGATAATGGGTGCAAATGGCTAATCATAAACTCTACACTTGTTCTCCTTTGCAATCTGTTAATACTGACAATTATCAAAGAAAATGGTATGAGAGGGATAACTAATATATTTTATTATTTAGATATAAAAGTCAATGTAGGCCTACTAAATGATGATGATTAATCTTTTTAACTTGATGTGCGTGCGTTCACGTACATATGATCCTCCTCGAAAATTATAAACACCCAGTGACCATCTAAAGTAAAGGCAAACCTTTAGTTTTATTTTTTTTTTTCAAATATCAAAATATAGGCGTTTTGGTGCCTCATGTCATCTGCAAACTACTGAGCGAACTGGACACAAACTTGGGAAAACATTAATGCAAGCCACTAATCCCACATTAATGGCCCACTAGTCAAATTTTTAACTCTGGGTTAATGGGTTAACAAGTATAAAAGAATGCAAGAAATGAAAAGGAAGGAAACCTTAAAAAGATAAATACATAATAAAAAAATAATAAGTAATAATAATAATAAAAATTAATACATAAAAATAAATAAATAAAATAGAACAAATATAATAATAATAATAATAATAATATAATAATAATAAAATAATAATAATAAGAAGAAGGGTATATCCAAATCAAGGAGGATTACCAAGTATTACAATTAGATGCATGTTTAAGAAAAAAAAATTAAAGGGCTTTTTCAGCTTCCCTCAACAGAACCTCAAATAACCTATCAAATTCTAACACCTTTTACACTTAGCAAAATTTAACCTTTTAACACCTTCAAATAAATTTAGAGGATGGAGACCCTTCTGCAAAAAATACATAACCATGAAAAAAATATATACCCATATATAAACAAATCAACCAACTCAC